AATTTGATTTTAAGTTATTTGACACATAAGTCTTAGAAACTGTTGGCCATTTTATTTTTAGTGCATACATTTACAATACAAAATTACATATTTAATTCCTTTTGACATTTTCTTCTTTACTTTCTAACTTTAATTTTTTTCATTTCTATTTTTTAGGATCCATTAAATTTTGAGTCATTTTCATTTAAGAACTTTTGCTGTGAGTAAACATATATTTAAACTATTTTTCAACCCAATATATACCTCATTACTTTGGAGTTTATAAAACTTTTATGGTACCTTAGATGATTAAATTTTTAGTTACTTTATCTGTTTGAGTATTTTTTCTGTATTCCATTTATCATAATTTTAACTTTATTCCTATTTTGTTATGGCAATTTTATTTTATGATATATATTATCCTGTGATTTATTGTACTGTCATCCTTGTTAATATTACAAATATTAACATTTTGAAAATAAATATTAACAAATAATAAAAGATTTGTTTAATCTTCAGTACCTAAGATGGAAAATTTTATATATTTTTACTATTTCTCCACTTGCCATCATACATAAAATATATCTTTATTTTATTGTTTATGGAAGGTAAACAAAAGTATCATTTAGGAACATATTGAATGAGGGATGCAAGTATGTTATGAGGCACAGCAAGAAACATCTTTGGGGTAAACTGAAAGAGGGTAGTCTCATAGAATGGTCCTAGACTAGTTTGTTGCTGAGATGCCAATATTTAAGAATTAGAAAAGTTGACTTAAAGGCTCCATCTGCAAAATGGGCCAGAGCCCTGTGGAATATTGAGGGTTTCATATTAGTGACGGTTCGGGCTTATCTTTTTGGGGTAATTATGGGTATAAAGATAAAGAATATGTCAAGCTGGTAAAAGATTTTAGTAGAGATATTGCTATAAGAATTTCAATCAGAAGAAATGTGTTTGTATAAGTCAAAAACTTCCACAGCATAAATGAAACTTCAACTGATTCTTTTTTTTTAAGAGAGAGAGAGAGAGAGAGAGAGAGAGAGAGAGAGAGAAATTTTTAATATTTATTTTTCAGTTTTTGGTGGACACAACATCTTTTATTTTATTTTTATGTGGTGCTGAGGATCGAACCCAGCGCCCCGCACAGGCCAGGCAAGCGCGTTACCACTTGAGCCACATCCCCAGCCCTCAACTGATTCTTAAAGGAAAGAGAAGTTGTAATAGATAAATGCAATGGAAGAATGCAAGTTGTGCACAAGAACATTATGTGTCCACAGTCATGAAGACAGAGTCAATATGAACAGACTGAACTTTATAAACCCGGTGGTTGTCAACTAGCATTGACCAGTCTTTCTAGAAAATACCACGCCAAAGACATAGTTGCAATTGTTATCTACCTTTTTTTTTTTCTTTTTTCTGAATCTGGAAGAAAACTGTCAATTTTTCCTCTGGTCAGGAAGGGCCAAGAAGGATCATTTATATAATTTTGATCAATATAAATTCCTCTCTTCCATCCTTTAGCAAAAATTTGGAAGAAGTACACATTTGATAAGTATGCATTGAAAGAAAGATGACAGGAAAGTAAAGGTTTCATTCAGCATGCCTTAAAAGCACATAACACATGCTGAATATGTTGAAGAAAACAAATGTAGAAATGGTGGATAGTAAAGGAATTTCTGTTATGCCATCTGGAAAAGCATGTGTCATACAGGATTTCAACTTGAATATGCTTGTAATATAAATCTAATCCACCAGCATTGGAGTCAATGTTCTCAATAGTATAATATGGAACATTGAAACAATTATCCATTTTCCATTATCAGATACTTCTATCTACTCTACCCACATGCCAGTAAAATAAATGCTTTTGTAGTTCTTATCTGAGCATTATTAAAGATCACTGAAGATCTCTAAAACATTTTCAAAACCTTTTGAAAATTCTTTTGTTTAATGGAAAGTTCTAAATGCACACACCAAATAATGTTTTTAAAGAAGCTAATGCTGAAAATATAGCTGTTACATAAATAATGAACTACATAAGATAAACTTTATGAATCAATCTACATACTAAATCAAACAACATAAACTAAATGAATAAAATAAAAATGTATGTGATGAGTTAGCAATAGTCTTTAAATTCAACTGTATTTCTTAAAATTAAATTGAATTCTAGAGTTTTGTGAATTGTTTCTCAAAATTTATGCATATATTTGCAATTAGGGAAAAAGTAGGTAAAAATGGAACCACTTTAGCAATGAAAGAATCATCCTGAAGTAAACACTGCCACCTTTACAGAGCAGTCTGTGGTTCCCAGGGCAGGAACTTGTGTGAAGCTGTGTGTTTTGGGTGGTGAAAAAGCAGTTACCTAGCAACAACCCCTCCTCCCAAGTCTGCTTCCAGTCAGATTGAACACGTCAGTGAATTGATTATGGGTTTGCTAGATGGAAAAAGAACAATGCCATAATGTGGTAGGGTATGATTCTCAATCATAAAAAACTTTCAGGTTTTTCTCTCTGAGGGGCACACTCCTCACCTGGTACTGCTAGAAGCTTGTCTAAAGAAATAGGATAACAACTAATGTGCTTATCATCAAAAGAAAATGAGAAAATTTCAGATACTTTAATTAATAACATTTATTTTCAGTTTGCTTATAAAGCAAGCAATGAAATAGTTACTACAAAAACATTGGCTCTGGGCAAGAGGTAATCTTATCACAATGTGTCCTCAGAAATGAAACAGCATAGGATAGGTTTAGGTTCTGAAGAAATAGTTTAAACAATCTAAACAGGTTTTCTACAGCATTTAACCATCTGAAGGTATAATCAATGACATACTAATTTATATATAACATACACATAATATACTTATGTTTACAACAAATGAGCTGAACCATATGTTAGCAATAACTTAGCTAGAAAACATACACTTTAATAAAGCTCACACTAGATATTTGGTTTGCCTGTGATGTGTATCACAAATAAATGCCAACCTCTCTTTCATCTAATGGATGTTTATTCCCAGGGAGCGTTCTTCCAGGTTGATGCATAACTGAGAAAATAGGTAATCTGAATGAAATGGAATGATAAGGACTATCACAAGCCCTACTGAAGTAAAAATTAAATACAGCAAATTAGTGTGTGTTTTCATAGCATGAAGATGTAAGGTTTAAAAAAAAATCTGTTAGAAGAATGCTAAAATGCCAAGTGTGTGGGAGCAAGTTAGAAAGGGAAAGAAAAGAGACTTTGGTTTATAAAATTTTCCATGATGCAAAGGACTGAAGCCAATATCTCCCCAGACACAGTGCTGACGCTCAGGGCCGCTGCTTGCCAACGTGCAGGAAACTGTCATTTGTACAGTAGCTTTCTGAGACTTCCCCGGCATCCCCTCCTTTCTCATCCCAGCACACACTGAATGTCATTTGTTCACTGAGTTCCAGAGCAAAGTAATTCTTTGTAAGAAAATAAGTGACAGTTGGACTCACAGCTCAAGTTAGCTCCTTTAGAAAATTGCTAAACTTTAGTTTTTAAAAGGCACATTTTTCAGATACAAATTAATCACTATGTCACACCATATTGTTTTCTAATTCTTTCTTCCCAAGAATATCATCAGTTCAGAAAAAAAAAAATCTCATTTCCTGTGAAAATAACAATAATAAATATTATTTCAGATTTTTGTTAAATTTTTATAATTATTTTGCACAGACCTTTTAGAAGTCAGGGCTTTTAACCATAAACGTCATCTCAGAAGCAATCTTATTATATGCAAAAGTCATATCTGAGAGTGAGTCTGAATACAGAATGGATTATGCCCATCTGTTCCTAAGTATTTTAGCTGGTCAAATGTCGGAGAGTTAAGGGAAGATCAGAAGGAGTAACAGCATCAGCAAAATGTTTGGACTAATAATTCCATTAGAATATAAGAAATGGTAGTGGGAAAACAGTTATTTTATTTCAAATGGATCAATCTGTAGTGAATTTTACCCCAACTGTAGAGAGTATCATGAATTTGTGTCAGAGAAATTTGGGAAGCAAGAAAAGACATCCTCATATTTTACGATGGGTGGTTTGATGCAGAATGTTCTCTCTTCTTACTCTTTCATTTAATTGCCTCTGTGCATCAGATTATTCTGATAACTCAGAGATACATTTCTATTCGTCCAAGTGATCAGAAGATCTTTACATTCGGAACTGACAAGAATCAGTTTCAGGACGTCTCTCAGTGTTGCCTGTGAGCCCCCGCAGAATAGCAAAGCTAATATCTAGTCGTCCAACAGTTAAAATAATTGATGAGTGTGCGCTGAATCCTCCAGAGAGGAGGGAGGAAGCAAAGAAGGAGGGCGAGGAGGAGAGGCTGGAAGGGAGGAGGGGATGGGGGGCAGGTGCTGATTTCAGCCCTGTAGCGTCAGGATTGCGTCAATTCGGGTTTCAGCCACGTCTGGAGTCTCAGAGACGAGCTTTTCAGAAGAGCCAAAACAGGAACAGGGGTGGCAAATCATTGTGCGAGGGCGAGTGGACCTCCCTCTTCGCCTCCTCCCTGCTCCAGGCGCGGGTCCCCTGGGCTCTGCGCCGCTGTTCTCAGCACTCGGGAAAGCCGGCTCTTCAGATCCAGGCAAGTCCATCTAGCCAGGGAGTTTTCCGTTCAGCACCTCGGACAGAGCACGCAGCAAAAAAATGGCTCCGATCGCTACCAGCCGGGAAGAATTTGGTAAGCAAGTTACTCAACTTATTCCTTGAATACTCCAGGGTGGGCAATGTCTCCCACCCGCCAATGGATGGTGAATGGAGATTTTTAGGTAGTGAATTGGAAAGGAAAATGAAGACAGCAAACGGTTAACCGTGGCTTATTTCTATGATTTCTCCCCACCTTTTTTTTTTGATATCTGTCTCCTTAAAATTGCCTTCAGTTAGGGCGATTCTACCTTCTAGAAGTTCCTGAATGTTCAGGTAGCTCTAAAAACTATAGCATGCATTGGTGGGAAGGAAAAAAAAAAAAGGAGTCTGTTGTTCGTATGCTCTTTTCATTTATCTTGTAGGCGATTTTTATTTGCAGGCAAATCTGTATTTTATTAGGAGGAGCCAAATATGCCTTGGTTACATAAGAGTTTGATCTGGTATAAAACAATTTGCAGATTGAGGGCCTGTACATTTTATTACAGAATGTTCCCTAATTTTCTCAGCTATCTGTTCTTCTTTCCTTGGGATATGTTATTAGTGCAAGACAGAATCCTATGACAGTAGGGTTACAGGGTCTTTCAAAACCAACTGGCTCAGCCTATTCCATTTTACTGGCGAGATAACTAAAGCCAGAGAGATGTGGGAAGTGTTTCCAGTTGCACACTTAGCTAAAAGCTGCTAGAAACTTGAATTGGGGCTCCGGTTTGGGATTTTAAATTTCTTTTTTTCCTGTACCGAATTTTTGGCCCCATAGATCTTCTTCTCTGTTTCAGTCAATTTAATTAGATCTATTTCTTAGAATAAACAGTAGTGTTTTTATATCTAATTATATTCCAAAAGCAAGAGACCAGAATTTTACTTACTTTACAAGTTTTTTCTTTTCGTTCTTTCTTTCTTTCTTTCTTTCTTTTTTTAATCAGGGAATTTTGTAGAAGTTTGAGGGAGTGATATCTATATATAAGTGGTGATTGTTATTAAACTGGGTGAAATGATCACAATCTTTACTCTCAAAAGCTTTAGATATTATCAAAAGAGAATGCACTAAGTCCCTGATATCTTGAATATTTTTCATTTGGTGTATTAAATAGACAATTTTTTATACTAAGTACATAAATAATTTTTTCAGTCTTTCATTTAGCTGATTGAGGAGTGCATGTGTGTGTGTGTGTGTGTGTGTGTGTGTGTGTGTGTGTGTATTGTGATATGTATACACAAGTTTTGACCTGAAAAATCAGAAAATTTCTAATCTTGAGGCATTTTCAGGAACTGTGGAAGTGAAACATGTTCTAGCATGGGCTATCAGTCTACTTAGAATCATTTTCAGTTGCTTTTATTGTTCACCTGACATTGGCTGAAGAATTGCCTCAGTTCATGACTTTGCTTTTACTCCCTGGTGTTAAAGAGTATTAATGTCCAAGAGTGGGGGGCTTTTTTTTTCCCCATAAAGACTTGAATAGAAGGGAAAACTCAAAAGCGGATACTAAGTTAAGCTGATTATCTTTAGCTCTTGCCTCTTTCTCCCCAGATTTCTGATTTTTTTCCCCTTCTTCTCTTATTTGGGGAATCCAGAGATTTATTGGAGCTTTACATAATTCAATTTCTTAACACAATCAAGCTACAGAAATTTCTATTGCTCCTGTTTTATTTGCTTTTTAAATTTTAGATACTTATTTATCTCATCTTCCCCAATCTTTTATTCTTTGAGTTTGGTTTTGCAATTATAAAGTAGGTAGGCAGAATATTTTTGGGGGTGGGGAAGGTGAACAACAAAAGATTGGTCTTCTTGGGATTAAACAAGTCTTAACCCATTCCTGACTGAGACTTTTCAATCCATCATTCCCTATTTGAAGTAAAATATGGACTAGAAGTAAAGTGAATGTATAATATGCTACACTAGTTATATTCACTTTGATTGTATGAAACATTGACTCAATTAGTATACTTTGTCCAGATGTAGCAGTACTGCTTTTACTTAAACAACATTCCTAATGATTTGAGAAATATGCTTACATATGAAATATGATAAGCTTCATGCACAATCCATATCACCTAAGGACAGTGATTTAATGAGCCCTCATTCAAGGAAATAATGCCAATTTCAATTTGATTACCACTTTCATGTGAAAATATCATAGGAAAAATATTTTTTTATGAATAAAATTGAACTCTAAATTAGCAATACTCACTCTTTTCATTACATGTTAAGGAAAGATTATTCATCTAAAACTTTGGTTTTAATCCTATTTAAATTAATTTGTACTTTGGATAATTTAGTGTTTGCATACAAGTGGGTTGCAGCATTACAGATTTTATAAAATAAGGCCTTATTCCTTTTCTTTTTTTGTTCTTTTTTTCCCATTAATAAATGATCATCCTCTTGATTACTGTTCCATAATTAAGGTGAAAATTTTTAGTGAGTTTATGGCAATGGCAGATTATATTTCACCATTTAAAAAAATTATGTGAACCACTGAGACCCTAATATTTTCTACTTAAATTTTGGAAAAAGAAGTATAAAATAAAATGCAAAATATCTTAGCATTTAAAGAATGTCCATCTAGTGTTCCATAGTCAATAAGAATTGATGCTTTTGGAAAGTTTCAAAATGTCAATGAAAAGATAATGAAATCAGTACTGACCCATCGTGGTGGAGTTGACTCATATTATCTGAGAAAACAAAGATAAGGCAATGCTATTAAGCACAGAGCCCCCATATCTGGCCCAGGCCCAGATTCATCTTCTCATTTTAAAAGCTACTGAAGTGAAGGAGTTTTTAGCACACTGTTTTTTCCCTGTGTGTCACACAGGGAATGTGTTTATATCTGAAGTTTATGTGAACTGGGTATAACTTATACCCAGAACAGCTGGAAAGGAATACAATCTGTCCAACCTGCAGCAATCTCCAGCTCTGCTATGCTTTCCCAATAGGCTTCTATTTCCATTCTGCTCCTTTAATATATGTTATTGGTCACTTGGTTTTTCAGATGAAATCCCCACAGTGGTGGGGATCTTCAGTGCATTCGGACTCGTCTTCACTGTCTCTCTCTTTGCATGGATCTGCTGTCAGAGAAAATCATCCAAGTCTAGCAAGACTCCTCCATACAAGTTTGTTCATGTGCTTAAAGGAGTCGATATTTATCCTGAAAACCTAAATAGCAAAAAGAAGTTTGGAGGAGATGACAAGAATGATGTCAAGAATAAGCCAGCTGTGCCAAAGAATTCATTGCATCTTGATCTTGAGAAGAGAGATCTTAATGGCAATTTCCCCAAAACAAACCTCAAAGTGGGAAGCCCTTCTGATCCAGAGAATGTGACCCCGAAGCTCTTACTAGAAGGAGAAAAAGAGGCAGTTTCCCCCGATAGCTTAAAATCCAGCACATCCCTCACTTCAGAAGAGAAGCAAGAGAAGCTGGGAACCCTCTTCTTCTCCCTAGAGTACAACTTTGAGAAGAAGGCATTCGTGGTGAACATCAAGGAGGCCCGGGGCTTGCCAGCCATGGATGAGCAGTCTATGACCTCTGACCCGTACATCAAAATGACCATCCTCCCCGAGAAGAAGCATAAAGTGAAAACCAGAGTGCTGAGGAAGACCTTGGATCCAGCTTTTGATGAGACCTTCACATTCTATGGCATTCCCTACACCCAAATCCAAGAGCTGGCCTTGCACTTCACAATCTTGAGTTTTGACAGGTTTTCAAGAGATGATATCATTGGAGAAGTCCTTATTCCTCTCTCAGGAATTGAATTATCTGATGGAAAAATGTTAATGAACAGAGAGATCATCAAAAGAAATGTTAGGGTAATACAATTTGAGTCCTTATTTATAAACAACCTTTAATGTAGGTTTTTAAGGAATCTTCATTAAAATGATGTTTATACATATCATCCTTACCATGTTTAGTTATTGTTCATTATAGTCAAATAGATAACAAGAGAACAGAGCAAATGTGAGAAAATTTAACCCACATCTGAAATACTCAAAATAGTTTAATGGTATAAATAAATAGTTTTCCTTTATGAGTACTTAAATATCATCTATATACATTTTTGTTGATTCCTATTTTAAGTACTGTGACAAATATTGTTACTTTAAAACTCATATGGCTACTTCTTAGTCCTAACTAAGTTAACAAAGTTGTTTCAAGGCCAGCATAATTGAATTTGAAACTGAAATTGAAATTGAAAATCTAATCAATTCTATCTAAGGATTTGGAATTCATATTGACTTTTTATGGAATTGCTTTTCAAGGAGGAGACATCAAATCATACTGAATAATAAATGCCCATCTCTATGTTGTATAATAGGAAAAGAGTTACTCTGTCTCTGTAGTTATACTACTTTGGGAGTTCTGGGATTAGGAAATGATATTCTTCAGTTAAACACAGTTTATCTTATTTCCACCTTAAATACAGAAATCAACACTGATTCTAATAGTGGTATTTCAGGATAGCATGTTTATGATGTTAGGATTTCAAAAATTTAGTAAATGTACTAATTTAACTAATTTCAGTTCTTTAAAAAAATTAATATTTTAATGCCCAAACAACTTCAGAATTTATTCTGACCACCTCCGCCTCCTTTTCTTTTATTTGTTGAAATTAATGCAAATAAAGGTTCAGAGATTATATAAATTTATTTGAGACAGCCACCTGTTCATTGGCACAGTGGAGTTAACAATCTGTCTCCATTTCTCTTAGAGTGTTTATTCATACAGCTGCCCTGTGTCAGGTTTTGTTTAAATACATTGCTGTTTTAAAATGCTGCCCCAGCCATCATTTGGCTGTAACTAAGTACCAAATCATCATTTTGCTACTTTTAGTTCAAATTTGGAGTTTGAGTTCTTGGTCCTATTACATTATTTCTTTAAGTACAAATTAAATCTAAGAAGTATACAAAGAAGGACTCTATGGCACTGTCCAAAAACATTGTATTAAAAATCCTGAGTCGCTTCAAGACTTAAATTCAATTTATTTCTTAGATTAAACAGAGAGTTAAAGGTAAGGAAGAGGCAAAGACTTTTAACACCATCACCACTCTGAGACAGGAGAATGATGGGAGTCGTAATAATGCACTTGATCTGAATTCAAATTCTGACAATATCAGTGCTAATGAATTTGAAATCAAATCAAACTTGTGCCAGTAGATCCTACATACACCCATTCAAAAGATTAGGTAATCATAGTAACTTTAATTACTTAAAACAGTGTAGGTATCAATAAAACAAAAACAAAAACAAAAAATACATATCTTTCTGTTAAGTATAATGTAAATATCCTTTTAAAACATTTGTAAAAAAATAGGCGTGGCCAACTCTGTTAGCTTGCTGTAGTACCTAAAAAGACCACAAGATGGCAAGCAATGGTTTTTAGGCCATGGTGGCACTGCACAAAAGTTTTTAGTTACTCCTAGATTCCTTAGCACATGATAATAAAAATAAATATCAACATTACATTTAAATAACGATGCTATTATATTGCCATAAAATTTTGATTAAAAAAACAAACATTAAAACTAACAAAATTATGTTAAAATATTTATGCTGCCCTTCTCTTTGTTTAGAAGTCTTCAGGACGGGGTGAGCTACTGATCTCCCTCTGCTATCAGTCTACCACAAATACTCTCACTGTGGTTGTTTTAAAAGCTCGACACCTTCCTAAATATGACGTTTCTGGACTTTCAGGTAAGAATGTGTCTGAAATATTTAGGTTCAGTCTAAAAGTGGGTATACATTGAATAAAATAGCTACCAACTAACACTAGCCTCTGATTTTGATTTACTTTTATTCATAATCATAAGTTATAGGATTGTTTCACTTTTTCTCATTTTTTGAAATACTGTGACCTAATGCTACTGGCAATAAGGAGAAGCATACATAGAGCTAACACCAGGCCAGTACCTGCTAAACAACTAGTTGAATGGTGTTGAAATAAAAAACCACTGATAAGTGGAACAGTGAGGGACCATTACCAAAAGCACATAATTAGAAATATTATTAGGGTTCAGGAGAAGTGTTTTTAATTTCAGTATTTTTAATAAGCCCATTTAACCTATACTTTTATTATTTGATTACTTTTTAAATGTATTAAGAATTAGCTTTTAGTTTTATAACTAATTTCACAAAACAAAACAAAACCCCAAACTCTTTTGCATAGCAGGATGAAAAAGAACATGAACTATTGATTAAAAAAATCTAAGTTCAAATCTTGATCCTTCAATTTCTTAAGCTGGTATTCTTGAGCATATTTCTTAAACCTTGTATAAATTAGAGATAATAATACCTTGATAAGCATTGTAAAACACAGAAATGTATAGTCTACTAAGAAACATCTAGACAGCCACGGTGGCACAAGCCTGTAATCCCAGTGGCTCAGGATGCTGTGGCAGGAGGATTGTGAGTTCAAAGTAGCCTCAGGAATAGTGAGGCTCTAAGCAACTCAGTGAGACCTTGTCTCTAAATACAAAATAGGGCTGGGAATGTGGTTCGGTGGTTGAGTGGCCGTATCCTAGGTTTCACCAAAAAAAAGTAAGTAAAATAGAATCATCTAATTTTAATATTATCATTGTTGCTGTTATTATTATTTGATGCTGTAAGTTAAAATGTGGTCCTAAAATTTCAGATCAGGGAGCTAAAGTTAAATCAGGTACAACAATAAAAATGTTAAAAATGATTAAATATGTAGTCAAGTAACATGATCCTAAAATTCACACACTAAGGATGGCAGGACAAAAGTCACTAAGGGGCAACAGAAAGAAAATCCAGCAAGTGATTCAAGAACCACAGAAAAGTTAAAGCCAGTAATATTCCACATTTCAAATACCCATTCAACAGAAAGTTAACCCAAATTCAGATGTAGATGTCCCAATTCATACAGGTTTCTAAAGTTGGATGTTGTGTAATATTTTTTTCCTTCTATCTCATTTTCCAGAATGAGTTATTAGCAATCAGAATGTCCCTAATAGAACATTCTTCTTTCTGCCCTTTTATGTTATCCCCTTTTTTTCTGCCATTGCAATTCCTTTTCTAATTTCCAGTCTAGAATTGCTTTTTCATTTTCAGTTTTGTTAATAAGAGTAAAGTCACACTTCATTCACACTTTGTTTGTTCTTACTCATTTCATTGTAAAGACCTTGGTATGCTGGGGTCTTGGAAAGCTCCATTACTTTGCAGTCAGTTCTGCATCTGAGCTATGCTCTGTAATACCTGTTGTGTACCTTTGCAGATCCCTATGTCAAAGTGAACCTGTACCACGCCAAAAAGAGAATCTCCAAAAAGAAGACTCATGTGAAGAAATGCACCCCCAACGCAGTATTCAATGAACTGTTTGTCTTTGATATTCCTTGTGAGGGTCTTGAAGAAATAAGTGTTGAATTTCTGGTTTTGGATTCCGAAAGGGGGTCCCGAAATGAGGTGATTGGGCGGTTGGTCCTTGGTGCAACGGCTGAAGGAACCGGTGGGGAACACTGGAAGGAGATCTGTGACTTCCCCAGGAGACAAATTGCGAAGTGGCACATGCTCTGTGATGGTTAGCGTCCTAGCCATGAGTTGGAACTTAAGGGTTTTTACTAGGCAAGGAGAAATTTTTTTTTTCTTATATGTGATTGTAAGCTTGTGACACAACAAGCCACCTTTTGTTGGTAAGAAATGGATTGAATTAGTAGACCAGAAAGTAACTGTAAATGTACATCATGATAATTTCCCCCTTTAGTAGCAAAGTTGGATAAATTTTCATAAGATATTTGATTTCCCCTGCAGGTTGTCAGTGACATAAATAGGGATGGTCAATCCTGTTGTGAACACTGCACTACAATCTGAGTCATGGTTTGGATCTAGAGGGTGATGATTCATTACAATGTCACTGAAAGTCCAGGTGAATTTTTAAAGTTTTAAAACTGAAAATCATGCCTTCGCTTATGAAAATTCATCCATTTTTCTTCAAGTTGGGGAAATCAAATTTTATTTAAATCCAAAGATATTAAAGAAATGTTTTCTAGTTTGTTTCTATTAATTATGTCAAATGCAAATGGTTGTCCTGCATATCAAAGTATCTGGTCATTTCTCTTTGGTTTGTAAGTATTTGATACAATTTTATCATAAGAGAAATAACAGGTTCATTTCCAAAGGACAATGAACAACCTGAGAAGTTATTTTATCAAAGGGCTGAGTTGAGAACACTGTGGCTGAAATATGATTTTTTTTCTCTTCTTTAAGGTTACATGTGAGTCAAAATGTAAAATAGAACCTCACATAAGAACCACAGCCTTGAATTATTCACTGCCTGTCACAAGCCTCAGTGTGACCTAAGAAACCCCTGTTTACCTTTGTGAAATCGTCAAATTAGCTAGTGGATAAAGAGATAAGCTTCAGGTAGAGATTCAACTAGAAACATGGTTTTCTTGTAGGAGATATGTACAGTGTACAAATGTACTCTCAAGGCCATCCTTTGTATCCAAGTGGGCATGGTCCCCTGAGTGTTGGCTTAATTCATTCTCCCCCAGAAAGGATTAAGCTATTTGAAAAGGGAAGGAAATGAAGGGAAGGAAACAAAGGGGAGAATAGAAGGAAGGATGAGGATTGGATGGAAGGAAAGAAGGAAGAAAAACGAACTGTGAAGTTTTATACATTGCCAGATTAAAACTAACAAATCAAGTAACAAGTCAAAAAAAAAATAGAGTAAGCCTGACATAATTTACATGTTCACAAAATATACTTAGGCTGTCAAATTAGCAAAACAAAGTGTGCTTTTCACTATGTTTTCTAGGCTACTAGGTCTTGAGCTGTTGTCTGTAAAGCAGTTTAGAGACTTGTGTCTTGTACCATTTTCCAGTGCCAGGGTTCTGAAATGCACTCAAAACCTGTTAGAGGAAAGCAGAGCCCTGCGATTATCTGGAAAGAATTCACTGGAGGGTAATGTCACAATATTTGAGTTTTTAGAGACATATGAGTGAAACTCGGGTACGGCTGAATTATTAAATATGCAAGTTAGAAATAAAGTCTACTGGAAAATTTACACTTGGAGTCAGGTTTTGTGTCAGTACTTTAACAGTTTTTGAGAATGTGTTTGATATTCCAGTGTTTGTAAATTCTATGAACATGCATTTTCCTAACAACTTCTACATGCTTTTTATGACAATGCCTAATGTAAAAAAAAAATGTATTACATTCTGTATGTGCAAAGATCGAAAATCAACCACTTTTTGTGCTTTAAGATGACTTTGAGACAAAAATGAACATTCCCCAGCCATGGTCTTCATTCCATACGAAGTCATTCCGCAGCATCTTGGTCTCCTCAGCTTTTCTGTGAAAGCAACATGAACTTCAGACAGTGTGGAGCTTGGGGAAGCCAAATGGCCTTTTTAATGTGTGTATGTTCGGTATCATGGGCCATGGAATATGAGGTATTTCAGAGCTCTGAAAAGCTGTGAGGAGTCAATTTCCAGTATCCTACACAGCAGCCAATAGTAATACCAGCCTTCAGTATGATTATTGGAAGAGGGCTTTTTTCTTTTTCTTTTTTTTTTAAGTGGAACAACAATGAATGAACAATTGAAATTACAATGGATGTTTTGTAAATAGTTTTTAGTTTTTAAAATTTAAAGTGTTTTAGAGTGTGAAAAGTTGAGTGAAACTATTTACAACGGGTAAGAAAAGAAAGAAGAAAAGCAAGAAAGGAATCCAAACAGGCAGGGAGATATGTGATCTCATCATTTTTGAAAATTGTACTGTTTTATAATGTATTACAATATCAATGTGAATATCTTGAATTCTGTTACCAATCCTGCACTGTATTAAACATGTAAATTAATCGTTTGTCTGATTAGCCAAACTAACCACCCTCATGGGGAGGTATCCATGTTTGAAGAACTGTGTAACTCAGTAACTGACTTGTTCTGATGTTGTAGCTCAATAGAAGTGATTTGGAAGGAAGCATGGTTCACAAGATGGTGTCTGTTCTTTTGTGCCAGCTCTGTATGATGTTTGTAAGACCATGTTTGTAAGACATGAATAAACTGCTGCTTTTGCCCAACCCATTTCAACTCAGACTTTCTGCCAATTAAGTGAGCCTTTTCTTACTGTTATATGAGCTTTCAAGCTTCTTTAATAGGTCACCTATGATACTTTAGGGAAATTTAGGGGCCAAGCAACAAATCTTCCATATACTTTTATTTTGCTTAATGCTTATTACAATCATCTGGAGCAAATATAATCATACCTAAAATAAACAAATGCACGATTTGATGCCTCATGCCTGGCAATTTGGGAGGCTGCGGCAGGTGTATCACAGGTTTGAGGCCAGCCTCAGCATCTTAGATAGGTCCTGTCTCTAAGTAAAAAATAATAATAATAATAATTAAAAGGTGAGGGTGTTGGGAATGTAATGCAGTAGTAGAGCATTCCTGAGTTCAGTCCCCAGAAATGCAATGAGTGGATGAATAAAAAAATAAGAAATGACTTGTACATGAACTTAAACAATAGTTTTTTTTTAAAAAGTAAAACATGGGAATCAACTCCAATGTTCATCAACAAATGAATGTATGAATAAATGTGGAAAATGTATGCAATGCAACATTACTCAGCGGTGAATGAAACTTTAATATACACAGAAACATTTTCAAATTGGGCAGTAATTATGCTGAATGAAGAAGTCTGGGCATCCTTCATCTCTTGAAAATGTACAATATATAATATAATTCTTTTTTTAAAGAGAGAGAGAAGTTTTTAATATTTATTTTTTAGTTTTTGGTGGACACAACATCTTTATTTTATTTTTATGTGGTGCTGAGGATCAAACCCAGTGCCCTGCATATGCCAAGCGAGCATACTACTGCTTGAGCCACATCCCCAGCCCTATAATATAATTCTATTTATAGAAATTATACAAAATACAAACTAATCTGTAGTGATGAAAAACAGATCAGTGTTTGGGGATGAAGGAGGCAGCATGGGAAGGTGTGAGTGAAAGATTGAAATAGGTTAGGAAAATGCATTTGGGATAACAGATGCACTAATTTCCTTGATTGTGGTGGTAGTGTTATAGGTGTATATCTATCAAACGCAACACTTTCATGTATGCAATTTATTATACACAAATTATACCTCCATAAAGTTGTTAAGGGGAAAACCATACAGAATAAGCCAATTATAATCAAATCACAAAAGAAATACCAGTACCAACATTACCACCAGAATTGTGACTTCTGAAGATCAAATTACATAATATCCTTTAGATCAGGTCTCTGTTCCTAAAATACATATTCCTAGAAATGTGTGTTTATATTACTGCTTCATAAAAGCTACTAAGAGAGTAACTTTGTCATGACACCATCAAGTCATTTTTTATTTAAATACAACTTCTGTTAGGTTTTTATTTCTATTTTTAAGAAATTTCTGTTTAAATCTCATTTTGTTTTGCAGTTTGTGAAATGTATACACTGTTCCAAAGTTACATTTACGAATAAAATATGTTAATAGAATCCTATCTTTTAATACATTCTCACCTTTTCTCTCCTCTTCCATAACTAATAATGTTTGAAAGATTTAAGCTAGTCCTTCCACAAGTTAATAAAAGTGTATATCTATGTTCACAAATCTTTCTTCACTATATGAGCAAAAGCATGAAACATAGTTTGAATTCTCTTTTTCACTTATCAAGCTTTCTTGGGGATGGTTCCCTGCCTGCAAATAGATATGGTCGCCAGTCCTGCTTTAAAGCTGTATAATATTACCTTACAGGATCAATTTCAAATGTATTGTGCTTTAAATTTAAATGTAGTAATGATTGGAAATGTGTTTGCTTTCATAAAATAAGGCCCTTCGAAAGACAAAGTGTGGTTTTCATTGATATTTACATTTCCACAGTATCTAGGCCAGGGCTCTGTGTATAGAAAGCTCAATGAATATTAATTCAACTGAAAACAGTTTCAGCCATGATAAATACCATATTTGAAGCAAATTTATGAGTAGTATTTTTTTAAAGTAGCCATAGGTAGTGGCACACATTTGTAATCCCAAAGGTATGGGATGCTAAAGAAGGAGGATTGTGACTTCAAAGCCAGTTTGAGCAACTTAGTGAGACATGAAGCAATTTAGGGAGAACTTGTCTCTAAAGAAGATATAGAAAAGGCTAGGGATGTGACTCAATGGTTAAATGCCCCTGGGTTCAATCCCCTATACAAAACAAAACAACAAAAAACAACAACAAACCTCACATGATTCTGGGAAAGAAGACAGGAAAACACTGAAAGTGCCCCTGCTACATCAATAGGCCATTTGCCCAATGGAGAATCCACAAAGACACATGATCCTTGTATAAGAAACAGGCCTCAGTTTCATCCCCAAATCATTCCCCTAATGCAGGCTGCAGATGATACAGATGCAGCTAATGCTGTTGTTGCTGCTATGTTACCACCAGCATACTACTACCACCTTATAATGAGATGACTTATTTAAGCTTATATTTTGCTTACTGGGGAATCTTTCTGTGACATTCATTGATGCACACCCCTACCCCAAGATCTGCTTTTGGTGGTAGCTGACAGAAATATTTGCTGGATTAAAATGTAAAACTCAATAATAGAATGCATATTCTAATTTATATCTTCTCATTTCATAGCACAACACACAATGTAGACAACAGCCCTTTAAATTTACTGATAATGAAGATTAATCTCAGTATACCATCTGACTTTAAAACACCCAGTGGCAAAGATGGGAGGGAACCTGGAGCTGCCGGAGTTCAAAATCACTGCTTTGTGAACAGCACCAGACAAACCCACTTCTAAGAAAGCACAGTATCATGTTTTACTTCTTTCATCCCATTTCTTATGAAAATGTCACATATAGAGCAAATATTGAACATACTGAAAAATAATGGTTGAAATAATTTGGTAGATTGTTGTTGTTGTCTTTTTTTTTTTTTTTTAACACAGATCAGTTACAAGCAAGTGGTAGAAGCAGGAGCTAAATGTGCATGGAGTCTCCACTACAAGTTTTTAACAACTGTTATCAGTTCCCTTGAGCAACCATATTTGAGAATCTAGCCAGACAACAACTCAATGCCATCTTGCATATCTTGAATATCAGTGCCAATCCAGAGGTAATAACTGTGCAAGATTAAATCATAGCAGAAAAGGAATGGGCAAGACTATCTGTAAAATGGGAAGCTATTTCCAGCCTAATAGGAACACTCATTTTCTAGAGAGTAAAATTACACAGATCTTGAATTTTTTGTTGGTGAAATGTGAAGTGATAAAAACACTTCTTAAGTCAGCCTCTCTCTAATTTAGAATAATATTTTAATATTCTCTGTACCTTAATGGATAAAAGCATGATCTCCTTATTCAGACTCCCATCCTGTTAATCTTGGCTTCATTCTTTATTACCTGTGTGAGGTATATCTCATTATTAAAAATTTCTGTGTCTCCGTTTCTTCTTCTCTTAGAAAGGGCTGGTAATGATTCCATACTTGCAAAATATCCCAAATACACAGAAGGAGAGAAGGGAATATCATTAGTTCAGCGTAGAGACGGGTTTTCAGAAAATGTGTATTGAATTTCTTTGGATCTAAATGGGCAAAAAAGAAAATCTAGTAAATTAAACTGTGAGGCTTTGAAAATGGGTATTGACATCTGTTAGTAGTTCAACTGAATCTAGAAGCTTACAGCTGTATTTTACATCATAGGACATGTTCATTTTAATATTTAATCTTCACAAAAAATCCATGCAGAAGGTTGGAAAAACATTCTTTTTATGCTATTTGAGATTTAGGTGATTTATCAGAAGTTAGCATCTGCATTTTGTAAGTGGAAGCAAGTGGGGGATGGGATAAAAGTCTAGCCCTAGAGGGAACAAGCATTTGAGAAGAGTGTAGGTTTAAGGTAGGACAGAGCCAAAGCACCTGGAGAAGAGAAAAATCATATTGAATTAGGAAAACTGATGACCTGACATGAATGATGGGGAGTCTAGCTGGAGTTTAGGGTGCAAGTAGATAATATAACTTGTATGAAAAATGATCTATTTGGAGTAATTGAAGCATGAAATATTTGTTTATTCATCCACATTATTGTTATGATGATGTCTCTGCCTTTATTCATGCATATTAATATATAAATGCAGGATCCTAGAGGTTTTGTATAAAATAAACATCAAACATGTTATTAGCTACAAAGGCAAAATTTTCAAAAGTTTTAAAAAGAATCACACTAAGGCAAAGTTTGCTGAAATATTTGTCAATACACGGGTCACTACTTATGAGTAATGTAGCACAATAATCTCATTCAAACAGTTATAATGAAAACACAGGAAGATAGAAGATGACAAAGTGACAATATAAAAAAATAAGCTCACCCTCTAAGGAATGTAAAAAAATATAGTTAAGATGTGCAGTTTCCCAAAATAAATGCCATAGTCTGAGTGGCTCAACCAAGAAACAATTATTATTTTTACAATTCTGAAGGCTAGAGCTCTGAGAGCAAAGTGTCACCAGGATTGATTTCTTCTGTGACTCTTCCCCTTTGCTTGCAGATGATCAACTTTTCATGGTGTCTTCATATGGTCTTTCTACTTAATCTCTTTTAATACAGACACTAGTCACATTGGATTGAGCCCATTTACATGACCACATGTTAACCTTAATTACCTTTTAAAAAATCCTGTCTCCAACTATATTCTCATTCTAAAGTACTAGGGGTCAGGACTTTAATAGAGGGAATTTTGTGGGATGCAAATCAGTACATGATCAATAGGAGAACATAAGAAATGTTATTTCCTCAATTGCATACAGAAATGCTAGTTTATATTCTATATAAAAATTTAGATTTCTACTTTATGAAGTTGTTGAATTCTTGACATCAGTGTTTTCTTATTCTGTTTCTTTCTACTCTTGCTATATGTGGACAACAGACAATATTTACATTTCCCCAAAATCAAACCACAGAAACAATCATGCTTACCCAGAGAAAAATATAGAAAGAGAATGAGCATTACAATCTTACTCCAAAGACATAATTTTGGGGAATAGATACATATATATGTGTAT